CGCCGTTGAAAAAAGTGTGAAATAGCAGCAACGAAAACGGGAAAAAACAAGAGACGCGCAATGTGGTAAAAACGAAAAACACTGTTATTTTAAACACGACGATACTCTCCAACATTGGAAACAATGTAAATTTGGGCTAGTTTGGCGAAGCTAAATAATTTGCTTAGCAATTTGCCAAACTCAATTGGGAATAATTTTCAAGTGATCTATGTTTGAAAATGAACTATTTAACCCGTTATTAACGGCATAGTAATTAGCGAAATATACCGTGTACTTACATTGAAAATTCAACGGCCATACATTGTACCGATGAAAGAGGAAAAAATTAGTTCAATGGTAATAGTTTCAACTGTGATTAACATAATTTAGTAGTGTATGTATATGCTATTCCTTTTGCGTCATTTTGTTCTTCGCTTTATTGGTTCTTATGCAATATCTTCTGGCTGACTCAAATATCTTACTACACTCTTCAGCTTCTTCTAAAATACATTTGGAGAACCAATTTATCCAATCAGCGTGTTGCATTTCCATGAACAACAATAGACATCGTGCTAATGTTATAGTTACACGAGACAAACGACAGCTGAAGTCACACAGCATCTTAGAACAGCGCGTAAAAACGAAAAGTCTATCGGATCGGTTGAATCGTTATCGTGAAGGCGAGTCGGGCGAATTTCGTATCCGGCTCNNTCCGGCTCGCGTGACAGCGGCTTAAGGCGCTAAAATAGAGCCTGTATGGCATCGATGTAGTCGACACGTCGGTGCCAGAACGCAGTTACGCATTTAGTCTTTAACTGGAAGCATCCGCGGCCGGAACAAGCGGCCGCCGAGCCCGTGACCGACGAAAACGCGAATTTTCCTCGATCGAACAGCGCGAGTCGTCTGCTCTGGGCGATCCTTTCGTGGAAAACGAATCGATTCGTAGCCGTGAAACGACGATGTGAAGCGTTTCCGAGGCTAGAGGATGCAACAAGTGCGTCGCGGCGGAGAACAGTTCACGAAAAGGGGACGTCATGTAGAAGCTACCTGCGTTGCCAATTGCGTCCACGAATCGACCGCTTGATCTCCGCGCTGCCGCTAATTACCCTCGCAATCAGCCTCGATTCAACTTCGTTTCACGCCTACGAGATCATCGTTTGCAACGAAAGGATCCGCCGTATGAACGCGACTGTAGGAAATCCGTGAGTGAAAGTACACGCATCATAGTATTCCCTTCGTTCGATCGTTCTTCTATAATCTTTGATTACTTCATCGTTCGGTTATTTCGTCGATCGACGATCTATACCTATCAGAACGAGACACGTCTCTGTCCGATTTTTCAATCTGTTCGCCGAGTCTGTAAGTTTCCTTTCGCTTATCTCTCTGTTAGTTTACTTTTACAGGCAGAGCAAGATTGATTTTTCAAGGCACGATTTTCCTGCTTCGATTTTACAGTTTGATGCGTCGGATCGGACCGACGAGAATCGAAAAACACTCGGAGAGAGAGTTCGCGAATAGAAATCGAGAATCCAGGCGAGGCACGGGCAAGATTCCCGGTGTGGAATGGAAATCAAAAGAAACGAGCCTCGACCGGACGAACTCGAGGAAAATCCGTTTCTCTGGACGATCTGTAAAACGGGTGTCCCTCGAATATTGGCCACGAGTCTGTTCGCTGTCGGTCGATACTGTGCGGACCAATTGCCAAAGAAAATGGGCCTGGGCAGCCTTCGGATCCTGGCTGCGTTCCTAGTTATTGTAATGCCCCGATCGCTCACTTACATTCTCCTGTATCCGATTTTCAGATTAGTGTTTGGCAATTTGTACCCGGCCTACGCTTCGTACAAGGCAGTGAGAACGAAGAATGTGAAAGAATACGTGAGTATCTATCAAGACCACCCGCTGAAATAACTAGAGAGGTATTCTTACTTCGTCTTCCATTAATAGCGATTATGTTTGATCATTCTAATTAATGGGAATAGAGTATAAGCGTGCTTCCAAGTACGAGCCAAGTTTCAGCTGAACTTGCTCGATAACGTTGCGGCTAAACATTGTTTCTAGGAAAGCATAAACTTTGCTCCGCAAATATTTATCCACGAGGGCTACTTCTCTCAGGCTTCTTTGTTAAAAATCCACCGCACTTGTCCTCGACGAACTTTGTTTCTGGATTAACTCGTGTCGCTTTATGCTCCAATGCCATCTCCAGAGAATTCCCGGTTAAATTCCAAGCTTATATTTCCATTCCCTTTGCGTTTCCCTCTTGCTTTCGCATAACGTTAAAAGCTAATATTAGGTTGCTGTGGATCGAAGACCGTTGTCTGGTTAGAATACTTCTACCAATTTGACGCGCAACCTCTATGTACGTGGATGTTATGCCTCTTATATCTCTATATATGTACATTCTGCACATATTTGTACATTCAAATTTCCCATGAATGCGTAAACATTCTCGGGCTAATTACAAACATTGATAACCAACTTACACGAACAAAATGGCAAACGGAATTTATACAGCGATCAAATATATCCCATACGAAAGCCGAGACGAAGTAAGAGTTCCTCCAAGACGACGATCATCCTATCTATATCCCTAAGAGCGTACGGTACATCGTTTCGTCGCAGAGATCCGTCTGGAGACAAAGTGTAAGCATTTATACTTTCGTTTTCAGGTGAAATGGATGATGTATTGGATCGTGTTCGCGCTGTTCACGTGCGCGGAAACATTCACCGACGTCTTCTTCAGCTTTTGGTGAGCAACGCCTGGGTCACGTTTCTCTTCTAACTTTGATACATACCGTAGTATAGCTAGCGACGAACGAGTACCGAAAAGGTCAAATAGAAGAGGAGAGGTCGACACCATCGTGGTCCCTTCCCTCTCGTAACTTGTTAATCCAAAGAGTACTCGCGATGAAAGAGGCTGAAATAGCTGTTGCACGCGTTCGCTGGATGGAAAGGGCATGTGTTTCGTAGACAGGGCTATCCGGAGTCGCGAAGCGTTTGGTCTGGTCGGTCGGTCATGGCCCCGTTTTCGCCGGAAGCGAATAAAATTCGAGCGAACCGGGGCCAATAAACCGAGGTGAACCGCGTGGTCCGCTCGCCACCGGGAATTCCGAAAGTCTAATTTCGGTCGAGATGGATATTGGCTTACATGCACTTCTGAGGATTCTACCGGCGTCTCGTCTTCCGTCTCTGTTTCTGGTGTTCCTGCCCGCTGTGCCAGATCTCTCCCTTCATACTCGAATTACAACCAAAAAGGAGAGTTGCCGGTGTATTTCTAGCCAGGAATACCCTGGCACTTTCCTCTCCTTCCCTCCCTCTTTCTCACACTCCCTCTTTTCTTTCCTATCGTCCACTATCCTACGCCTGGCCATTACTCTACCCAATTATTTTCCCCTTTTTCGTTTTTTACCCTCCTTTCGCGATGATGCGGCTTCGTGGTTCACGGCTGCGTCACGCGTAACGACAATTGACGAGCTTTCTGAAAGACAAAGGCCCTGTAGGTCCATCGTAAATACGTACAGTTACTAAGAAAAGTGGCCGTACACCTGACGGAAGGGCCATTTTTATTACAATAGAATGCTACAACGTTTCATTGCCAAGTTATTGCGATTTATGTCAAGATGATAAAGACTATAATATAAGATAAATGTTATTATACGACGTGATATGCACATCGCGAAAAGTTGCAAATGAAATGTCCACCTTCGATGGGCTGTTAAGAGTCGATCGATGTTAGAAAAATCAGAACCGAGGCTCGCAAAGTAACTTAACATTTTTCCAAAAAGCTTCTCAATTTTATCGTTGGTTATCTTTTTGCGTTCGAGCTACAAATTTTGCATTCTTCTATGAAAATATGCTGTATTTTACCGACCAATAATTTACGGCCATCGTTTTTTTCCATCGTTTCGTACGCGTAACATTTGTGTTTTGATCTTGCTCGTATAGGTTCCCGTTTTACTATGAAATCAAGACTATCCTGGTGATCTGGCTGTTGAGCCCAGCCACCAAAGGCTCGAGCATTCTCTACAGACGCTTCGTTCACCCGGCTTTGATCCGGCGCGAGGCTGAGATCGACGATGCCTTAGCACGCGCGACGGAGCAAGGTTACTCGGCAGTGTTGCACCTCGGATCGAAAGGTGTGAATTATGCTACCACGGTTCTCATGCAAACCGCTATCAAGGTAAGTTTCGAACTTAAAAGTACACTCGCTTACAGATGCCGTAACGACGAATCAGATCGTCTTGTTTAACAGGAAAAGTAAACAGTAACGGAGAAGATATTTTTTTATGGAATAGAAGTAATTCTGAGATTAAACACGGAATAATAAGATACGGAAAATCCCGAGTAGATGGTTATATAAAAAATATACAGAATATATACAACGTAGTGTATCTCGTTTCTTCGAGTATATGATACGTCGTCTGAATCTTTTCCTCGTAACAAAACGATCAAAAGTCCGTAACTTCACGTAAAATATTAACTCGCTGCAGCCACCGCTTCCCAACTCGCTAATCGTTCGATTTTCTTTTTTTCTTGTTTTTTATGTTTACGTTGTCCTGCACGCCTATCCTGCACGCCGCCTCTAATCAAACAAACACCAACGTCGATCATCATCACTACACATCGTCTAACCACTGCCAATCATCGTCGTTCCTTTAACAACTCGTCGTTATATATTATCAAAAAAAAAAAAAAAAAAAATACCATGTTATATGTACACACGTGTTTGTTATGTTCGACCTGTAACATCAAACATTCCACGACGTTCGTGTATATGTGTAAAAATCAAAAAAAAAAAAAAAAATCCTTCCAAAAACACATCGGAACGCGGGGGTGGTCAGCATATTCTGAAGTCAGACCAAATCATGGTGACTGAGCTATCAACGATCCAATCGGCCTCGGCCGTTTCTAGCTTGGCCAAGCTTCCAACGACCTCGAAGGAAAAGACGGACCAGATAGACGCCATCCAGAAACCAAGCACCCCGTCGCACTTAAGCAGTAGCTCCGATGACTTGATCCCTGTCGATTCGATGCCCAACACGAGCAACGATATGAACACGGACGACGAGCTGGTCGAAATTGATCCTGTAGCAGAAGGGGACGTTTTCAAGGTGCCAACGCCGAAGAAAGCGTACAAGGCGCGGAAAACCAGAAAAGGGCGAACCGAAGGCAACTCGAGGCGACTCAGGTCACACGCTCGCGACACTGACTCCATATTCAGCGACGATGAATTGGACCAGCAGTATGCGTCCACCATGACGGAATACTGACACAAAGTGTCGTTCTGTGAATCGGTGGAAAGCAACGATTCAACGTAGTCTCGGAGAATCGCGAGAATAATCCTCGACAGGCTTTCGTCGAAATGGATTGCAAGTTACCGATTTAAGATTAACATAGCGTTTTTACATTTATAGAGATTCGAGTGGAATGGGTTTTAGGGAAATTATGCGTGTGTTTATTGAAAGTCTTAGAGTAATTTTCCGTTTTTTTTCTTTCTCTCTCTCTCTCTCTCTCTCTCTCTCTCTCTCTCTCTCTGTTTTAGAGTCGAGTTAATCCTGAAGAAGGTATTCGTTAAGACGGATTATGGATGGAATGATCGGAAAGACAAAGATAAAAAGGAATTTGGTCATTTTGATGAGAGGGGAGTTTTTGAAATTTTACTCCCGTGAAATTATTTGTTACGTCTACACGTGCGTTACGATACTATATACAATGATAAAGATGTTTTTTTATTCGATATATACCAGAGGCCTTTAGCATAATGTAATCTCAGCTGCGAAACGTTTAACGTTTAGACGAACATTAAGAAACTATTATTGCGTGCCACCTTTCTGCGAATTCTGCGACTTATATCGTTTATTATACCAATTAGCATTAAGAGTAATCTATCGTGATCGAATCGCGAACCGTGATAATTTTGGTAAGTCGGGAGAACTGGTGCCTTACGATAGATGACGATATGAGATTTCGTCGATTACGATAATCCAAGAAATTTTCGTCTATTGTTGCAAACTGATAAACTATTCTCAACAAATAAATATATCAAATAACCATGTTGAATCCTTTTTCACGAACAAGCCGTCGAATAATCGAAGTATCGATCGAATACACGATATTTCATTTCTATCAACTAGACTTGTATCAAAAAGACAGAGTTTAAGACTGTACCGCGACCGAGGTATGTAACAGGAAGAATTCGACGATCACTGGCAATTTTGTATATGCAGTTTGCACGAACACTTGTTATCTGGATCGCACGATTTGCTTACGAAGTAATCGAAGTACTGTACTTTTTGCTGGCACGTAATCACCGACGAACATCAGGTAGTGCTTAAGGAGGCATCGATCACAGAGCGTGTCGTTCCTTGCTGTAGTTCCCATAGTTGTAACTGTTGTTAAATCTCATACATATATCAGATTGATGTAAATGTGATGGAAAGTAATTGCATAGGATACACATCCTCGTTACTTCTACACCAACCGAACATCTCCAAGCATATTAGAACCGTCGAGAATCTAAGAAAGCTATAGCAATACGAGGATTTGCCATTGAAACGCTTAGAAAGTAAGACTTTTATATCCCAAAGATTTTACTCAACGATGCTACTATTGATATGTTTCATTTCATTCTTTTTTTTTTTATTCCCATTTTTTTTTTCGAATAAATATATTCTATGGATAAGGATGTAATGTGTTGGTCCCTCACTCTTGCTCCGTTCTCTTTTTCGTGGAAAATAAACGCTAGTACCCCGCGATCATCCGGATCGATCGATTCTTCATCGTTCGTACCGTGCAAATCCCGTCTAACGAGTTGGTCCAGTTAATCAAGAGAACCCGGTTCTATCGCTGGACACGCGGAACGCTAGCCGTTAACTCGTGCCAGAATGAAAGTCGGAAAGAAACGTAGCCGGATAGGCGAGAGACCGCAACGCGTTCGCGTTGTTCAACCCGGCCTAGATCGGTCGCTAAAAACACGCACGACAGATCGAACACACGCTCCGGTGTCGGCAGATAACACATTAACACCTTTTTCCGGGTTGGTAAGAATATATTTTTATTTTTTTCCTTTTCTCTGTACAAAATATTCAGATGAGAAGGTCTGTGACTTTAGAGTTCGTAAGAGACTTACCGAGAGGAATTCAAAAATTTCCCATATCTACGCGATTTCGTATTTTTAACAAAGATAATGTAGAAAGTAGAATCCAGATAGAAAATTGTTTCATCCTTTAAGTATTTTAACGAGCAATTGCACTTTGAATATTTTACATATCTTTGAATATCAGTATCGTACGTTTTGCATAATTCTTCGCGTTTGCTACAATAAACGTTCCATACGTTTCTCTCTCGTGTCGATAAAAAATGTCCATCCACCGATAGAAATCGACGTCTCAACGTATCGCGAGAAGCCTCGTCCGCGACGTCGAACGCTGTCGTAAACGATAAAAGTCTCGATGTTGCGTCAGAAGGATCGCTTTACAGGCTTCGCAGGACTTACGTGTTTATTAGAAATGTTTCATTCCTCTCGCCGAGTACTATCAACTCTTCGAGTCTAAGCACCTTCTTCTTTTTTAACACCCTATGTAATACTTTGTTTTAGTCTTAGCTGTATGTATCTTCGACATGTAACTATACGTTTCTCTGTGCTCGATCGATAAGTTTGATTTTTCTGCTCACTGGTTCTTGACAAACGACGCGGCACGCAATCGTGGATTACCCGGCAGGTTGAAAAAAACAGAGGATTGGTTTTTCAGGGCGGTGGTGGTCTGGTACAGCATTTAAAGAAGAGCTACAGCCTGAGCGACCTGACCGGCGAGAAAGAGGACGAGAATAGAAACACGCCGCACATGCACGACGAGACGGACATGGAAGGTTATTGGCCGATCGTGGCTCTAGTCATTTTTACGAATTCTCTCGCGAATAACCATAACGCTGTTCGCTTCCTTCGATGTAAAACTCTGTTTATTTAAACTGTTCGGTGGACAAACGCTCCATATATTAGGAGTTCACCAATTTTTTCCCCGTTATTCACCGTGCTTCGAATAATTATAGACTCAAACACATTTTCTGTTTGGTTCTTCGATATTTCCGAGAAACCAAGATAAGGTTAGGCGAAACCGTTTTCGTAAACTGAACGCTCGAAAGGCTATCGGCAGATGGTGTGTGTTCGTAAAGACGGATCGTCTTTCGTAACCGAGATAGAAGATAAAAAAGACAATACAGCCGTTAGTGCAGAGAAGTTTGAAAATTTCGGAACACTGTTGTTTACATGGACGTCGAGAACCTACGTGGAATTCTAGCGAGAAAAATTTACCTTAAAAAAAAAAAAGAATAAAATCTGAAACTTTAAATAAGTCAGTGGATAGCCTAATTTAATAGATTGATAGAAGTAATTGAAGATAAAGGGAAATCCACTAAACATTGAACATTGCAAAGGTAAGAAAACTAACACTGAGTTTGTATCTCTTCACAGGGAGAAACACAATTTTAAAGAAGAAATCTAATCTCTTCTAGACTTGGAGAGAAGACAATTTTTCTTCCTTGTGTCTCTCGTTTTGTTTCGTATTACAATTACGGTATTACAACAAACGATTCTTTTTGTTTCAATGTTACGAAAAATCAGAAAATAGCGTTGAGTTTATAATTATTCACGGCACTGTATTTTGTGGTTCTTCGCTAAAAACCTCCTACCCTAGAATCTTCTTGCTTTTTCGCAGCCGCAACGTTAAAGGATAGAATTCGATCGTGTAAATTGATCGACGAACAAAAACGCGAGTGAAATATCACTTTCTCACAACGGTGGCTCGTTAATCAGTGAAAACGATTGACACGACGCAGCGCGTGCGTCCACAGTAGGAATTTTGTTAATCGGGCATTAAAGGAACATACTTTGATCGAAATTTGTCAATAATTTTCAGTGGAACCTCGTCGAAGAGAGCATGTGGGAAGAAGAGGGTATAGTCCTCGTCGGACACAGTCCAGCACCAATCGAGTGGAAATGTATTTTTCCGAAGTGGACGTTGACGTTCTACAGCCAAGGTCTAGGGAGCCAACAGCTAGCTTAACGTTCGTATCTCGTTTTTAACGAATAATCATAGTACAAACGTGTAGCGTCCTAATATCCGTAACGTGGACGTGTTATGCTGTAAACGGATCGTTGGTTGCAGTAATATAAGGTCTTCGGACGACATCTCCAGCGGGTACAGCAGCGGGGAAGCGCTACAATCCAGCCGTACATCTCAAGGCGATTCGTTGGTTCGAACATCGAGCGTCGGTGCAAGAACACGCGCAAAACCTCGCTCCACCACGAAGAAGACCCCAGAGGTACTAAATTCAACCGGCCGAATCCGTATAAGAACATAAATCAAGGTTTAATTCCGCGCACTCGAGCCCCAATTTCATTTCTGCAACCGAAACTTTACTACAACTGTTCCAAATGACGCTGATAAACAGACTAGAAGCAAGGCGTCTGAAAATAAACTAGACTAGAATGAAACAGCAAAGGCGAGTCTGCGACGAAATTGAACCTTGATTAATTCATTAAGGACATTGGCAAATTTTTCCCTCGGCATTCTATGTATCAAGCATCGTATCAAGGATACGTGATTATTTCTTCCATCTGGACTTTGCCATTTTATATCAGAGAAATCGAAACGTGTACTTGAAACGTTACGACGATTCGAGGAGCGTTGGAAAACGGTGTAAGTGACAAGATTGAAAAATTGCGATTTTTTTATCAGAAAATGTTCTACACGGCAACGAGAATACCGCGATATAGTATTTGAGCGCAATTTAAACGCACACTCTATACAGTCATTAATAACGCTAGAAGGTGTCAGAACGTTGCCTCTACAAAGAGGATACACAAGCTCTAGTAGACGTTACTTAATTGTTTCTTCGCTTTTGTCTATGTCATCTATCTAAACGAGTTTGGACATTCGTTTGAATGGAGTTTTCTTTACAACAACGAGATATTACACACAGCGTTTTCCACAGACGCTCTTCGACTCTCGCCGCCTAGTCCTTAATGACGATTTAAGTTCGTTCTATTTAATCTTTTCAAATTATGCAGCAGCACATGATTAGACGTTTCATTTGATAATATAACGATTTTTATGATATTTGAAGGACTCGGGAGAGGATTCCGACAGCATCGATCCTTCTTCCTCCAAAAATGTCTCATTTCCGACACCTTTGAATCTCATCACTCCTGAACAAGCTCTCGAGATCTTGCTTCTACTCTCGAAAAACAGTAACGTTGCTGATTATATGAAATTCGATCGTGGCACCTTTACCGCAGGTAACGATGATTTACTTAAAAATACCAGTCAATCAGGCCCGCCGGAACTAGAAAAAAAAGAAACGACGGAAACGATCGATAATTCACGGCCAGAGCCTGTGCTAGCCGCGGAGCTTCGAATAATTGAAAGTATAGAGGCGAGGACCCATCCTGAACCTTTATCGGCTGCAGAGAGATCAGTTAACGATGCACGGACGAAGCGAATCGAAACACAAGACGCAAAGACCGAAAACACGATAGAAAATATTACGAATAATTTTACTTGTGACGAAGCTTCTTCCGAAAAATTAACCGAACGGTCAACACGGACCGTAACGGATGAACTCTGTCAGGATAAGTTCGACGAGCTGAAACAACTGTTAAACGACGCTCGCAAGGCGGTGAATAACATCGTCCACACGCAGGAAAAATTGCAGCGTAGCGTTACACCCGTCACTGAAAGGTTATCCTCGGAAGACTCGTCGCAAAACGTGGACGTTGAAACAGCGAACGAGAATGAAAACGTAGGAAAAGATGGCGAAGACGCGAAAGCATCGTCAGAAAGAACAAAAGAAATAGAAAATACAGCTGACGACAAAGACGCGGTAAACATGGTTGCGGAATACGACAGCGCCAGCTACTTGGACGTTTGGACAACTCCGAGTGTGTCGCGTAGTAATTCCGACAGTCTTGGCCGAGCTGGTAAGTACAACAAGAAACCAGCTCCCAAAGTACCTCTCACGGAGAGCGAAGAGGACTTGAACGAGACCGATGCTCAGAGCGCGTTGAAAGCCACTTTGGTAATTAAAACTGGAACCTTAAAGACCTTCTCAAACACCGGCACCGCGAAAGACGTGTTTATCGCTCACGCTACTGGCGCGAAGTCAAAGGGGAAGAAGTGTAAGAGGCAGCGAACGAAGGAAGGCTTCTCGAAGCTGCTCGCTATTCCGAAAAATATCTTCCACAGCGCGTTTTCGAAAGAACGCAAGGCTTCGAAAACAGACGACTCCAGCTCGGATATCAGCACGTCCGAAACCAGATCGAACAGCATCGAACCTCAGGAAACGATTATCGAACTTGCGCCGAAGCCATCCAGCTCCGGTCAAGAGATAAACATTCAGAATGACGATAAAAGCGAGAACGACATTTCTGACAGTTCTAACAGCTCAGACACTTACGTACTCGCGCCAAGCGACGATAAGGAAACCGCGGATAAAACAGAGAATGATGAAACAAAGAAAGTTACCGAGGAGAAAGTAGAGAGCGCGAGCGTAGAATCGCGGATAAGAGAAGCATCGCAGTCACCAAAAATTGGCAAAAGATTAGAGTCGGATATTTTCTAAATGCTGTCGTTTAATATCGTATAAGATATAATAGTGTACGTTGCGAGAGTTAGACGGGTCTCATTGACTGGTTTTCGTCGACGATTTAAGTAAACCCAATATCATCGGCTCCTTCCTAGTCCTTTTCGTCCACTTTGTCGTACTGAGGAAATCTGGAGAGAAGAAACGGATTAGTTCGTTGGTTCAGATCGTATGGATATGGTTTCTAGAGTGTTTTTTTTGATAATTCGTTAGACCACTAATCGCTTACCGAGTGTTACTTCTTACTAGAATGTTAAACATGCATGTTACTCGACGATTAACACGATTACAGCGACACAGCTACACGATTTATTAACCGTTGCTTCGAGAAGGAAACGATACCACCTGAGGGGAATTTTTCTGCCAGTATGCTCCCCCCCTCCCCTCGTGTAGTAGTATCTGTTTCCTAAAGTCAGTGTGGTGTGTAAATTATTATCGAATCGATCTCTGTTTTAAAGACTGCGTCGTAAAGAACGCTTAGCGAATGATCAAATACATAAAAATGTAAATAACGCGATATCGGGCAGTTTTATTTGAGGATCGAACGTTCACCCGCTAACAGAACGACGATAACACACAGAATTCGTCTTTATTTTTCAGATAACAAGCTTCGCTACCCTGCCCCGCAGCAAGAAGACAAGTAAGAAGAAGGTGGCATGAAATTTAGAAACTGCTGCTGATCGTATCAAGGAATAAGAGCAAGCCTTTTCTTTCGACTTATTTGAATTTCTACGTGCAGCGATAAAACGATCAGCAGCAGAGACAGCTATAAACCTATGAAAATGCATAATGCATCGCGCGACATTGTGCCCTAGCACTAACGTTACACGATTCGTTTGTACATAGTTTCTCTCATAATTTCTATTTCAGTTTCGCAAGAACGTGATTCTCATCGATTGTAATCGAGCATCTAGTTAAATAGACATAGGAGAATTTGTCCTGTTCGTCGGGTTACATTAAAAAAAAGCAAAGCAACGATAGAGTAAAAAAAAAAAAGAGAAGAACCAGCCATTCGTAACCGATCTGTAACACCGTTGCTCACAGTCATCCAAGAGGTTCTTAGATACTTCTGTATTATGCTTTTTATCGCGTATCCCGAGACCCGTGTGCGTAGCGTCGTTTACACGACCACACACTACGGTTCTAATCGAATTTTATAATATATAGGTACACGCGTAACGATAACGGAGGAAGGAAAACTTCCGGTGTTTATCGCACTCGATCAATGTTGCTTACGATCAAGCGTAGACCTTATTAATAGAGACACGTGATTTACCGTCGATGCCCGAAAATCGCATGCGATTCCATTTCTAAGCTTTTCTAAGCTGTAGCTCTCGTGTTTCCGTCAAACATCACTGGATCATTGTAAAAAGAAACAAGAAGATAAAGAAGAGGAAGAAGAAGAAGAAGCACAATTAAAAGAGTCAGTTGTATTTGCGAGAGAAAGGGATGAATTTTATGAAATCTAGTCAACAAACAAAACGTACTCAGGCAACTTTCGAATAGTGCCACTCAACTTTCTACGTATAATTTGTCTATATACATACGTAACTGTAGCTAGCAGAGATAGGGAGACGTGCGGTGATCGATGACCGATAAACGACCGTATGAAACTAAACGATCATTGCACTTTTTCACGGAAATTAGAACTCGCGAAGCGTTGCATAACGTTCGTAACTGTAATAAGACCGTAGAGAAATTTGTAAGATCCCGTTGACGATCAGCTACTTGTCCTATGATTCTGAAATCTTAAGGTTGCACGTGACAACAGTCCGCTTACGTGTACTTTCGTTCGAACTCGAGTCGTGAAACAGAACAAGGCACGAAAAGACGCGCTACGATCTGCGCTTCTCTTAAAGTCTGAGTTTTGTTAGATCTGAAAGATAGTTGGAATCGAATGTTAGCCTCAAATCGGCTTTATTTCAACGTTGAACCACTTGTTTCCTAGCGATGAAAGAGCGCGAGGGATTGAAATTAGAAATCATTGAAACGTACGCGAATCCCTGCCCGAGTGAGGTGCATGGTATTATTTTTTGCTTGAGAGTTGGCAACTATGACGTGATAACTCTTGTTTTAATATAGAATCGCATCTGTTTATAAGTTGTTTACGCGCACGGTATACCGAGCAGAAAATTTACGCACAAACGCCGTAACTATCTCGAAGGAGAATTGTAACGAGCAATTGTCGATCTTATCGAATCTGTACTTTAATTGTCACTGCGAACGCTGAGCGAAAGATGCCACTCGAGGACGTAATATTATCGTTCAGTTGAGAATTTGTTGTACGACTATATGATTTTGCTAGATCGTAGGAAGAGAATGCGGCTAATGCGACGATCGAAGTACACCGCAGAAATTGTAGATATATTTAGAGGCGAACAAAGCTTCGAGTTAAAGATTTGGAAGGTTCGTAAATATCTCTACTTAGCAGGTCGACATTTGCATTCGCTGCATTTTATCAGATAATGTAACAAAATTCGACGCTTGTCAAGGGAAATTCGTTTAATTGTAACTTACGCGTATTGTTAATTCTTAACTATCTGGATACCTGGCCGCAACTGTGCGTGTATGCGAAACTAGAAAGGAACATGCTCAATCTTAAGAATCTTTGCCCGTGCTCGATAGGAGAAAACTTGGAAAAAAGTGTTACAGTACCTCGATGTTGTTCGAGCTTTCTTCTTTCCAATTTTAATAAGCCTTTTTGGTGCATCGATAATGCACCATGAAATTACGTATATGGTGCTGCGAACTTTTTAAGTTATTTTATAATTATATATCTTGGCAACGTATATATAAATATATATGTATATATAAGGAAAACATGTTCTGAATGTTAAAAAGGCACCTGAAACGTTGTGAATTATGTGGATAGATTGGTTAACAGTATTTCGGTTTAAGTATATCTGTAGTCAATAAAGTCAGATTAAAGTATGGTACCTATGTGAATTTGTTTACGATATTAATTGTTTCGAAATTTGACAAAATGTAAGTATTCGAAATTATGTAATGTTAAGCAAAATAACTTGGACGTTGCAGATTTCCCTATCTGTATATAATAGAAATTAAATTAAAGTACTTACATTCTTATCAGAATAAAAATAATTCTATCAAAATGTCTTTATTATATATCTCATATTTATGTATATTTTTATTTTCTAAGCATCTTTTTAATTATTCATTAAATCGTTCGCATTATATTTTATATAAGGAAAAATAATTTAAAATACTTAACTTTGTGTATCGACCCACATAGTCCGTATAAAAATATATAAATTACAATTACATACATACATCACATACACATGCATGTATTGTAACGAAGTCGTTATCATTTTTGTATCAGATGCAATGTTATCGACTCAATGTGAAGTAACTTCCAACTGTACCATCGTACATGGTTGAGTTGGATATATAGTTCCTCCATTCACCGCTCTAAATGCGACAAGAAATTCCATAAGCTGCAGATCTATTCTATAGCTTATATGTGGCAATAGATCTATCTTCTATCCAGGCTGTGCTAGGATTTTCAAATGTGACGTGAAAATGCATTGCGTGTTAAATCTAGAATACTTCTTGTCTATGCTTAAATACAACACCTCTTTTTGATGACAATTATAAACTTCTGGGTTTTTTTTAATACTGCGGTCTGCTTTCTTAAATTAGTATTATTAGTTTAGAGATAATTATGTATACATATATTGTACATAATCAAAATTGTACTCATTGTAATATGCTTTTAAAAGCATATCTGAACTATAACTGTTTTCCATTAAACGATCAATATGGCGACTTCCACATAATAGTAAATAAAAGTGATAGATTTTGTTAAACTTTATAATAAATTTCATTGAAAAAGTGTAACTGTTTATTACTTTTATTTTAATACCCATTATTACAAATGATGGTAGATGATGTTTTACATTGAAGTGACTTACATAGCTTCTTGTTATTTCTGTACGTTTTCTTAACACTCATTTTGCTTGTTGTTAAACATGTGCTTGCGCATTTGGAACATATCACAAAGAATTTGAAATATTCATGAAATTCTGAAATAAACGATTATATTTATTTTCAGAATGAATTACAGTAATAACTTTTGTCATCATTTGTTACTTTATTAATTTTAAAACGGCATTCTTACAATTATTTTATATTTTTTTCAATGTATAATTTAAGTATTTCTCGACGTATTTTATAATTAGCGTTATTATCTTTTAGCTATGATTAAACTTTTTTATGATATATTTATAGCAAATATAGAAGTATCTTACTCAATTTATAATCTTTACTTCATTGTATTCTTTTTTACAGTTTTTTATTATATACATCGAAATTATCCAACGTATGTACCAGAAATATATGATATCGCTTTTTCAGATCTTAAAAAAATACGCATATAATATACGTTTGGTTTTAAAAATCGAAGCTGTGGTAATATTAAAAAATGTTGCAACGACATCGATTATTAGGGGATAAAATACTTTTTCGAATATTGAAAAATAAGAACCACCTCGTTAACAACATATGCGAAAAACTGGTATTTATAAATAAATAAAATTACATATTTTATTAACAGTATATGCTACCATTAAGCTGTAATTCATACACATATTTTGTATTTGTATTATTTAGTTACTAAGATAATCTTTATATTTTTGTATAGAAAGATCAGTTTTAATAATCTAATGTGTTTTTATTTATAATGAATTATTATTTTAGAATAACAATGTGAAAAACATTGTGTTATTATCAGAAGATGAACTTTGTGAACTATGGCTACATATAAAAACTGTATTATTAGAAGCACAAAAATTATGTAAACAAACATCAAAGAATAAAGACAAACATGTGAAAGTAAGGTCACTTAGATGAATATATTGTATGATATTTTGTCATTTTACTATTGTTAATATAATTATTATTATTATCATCAATACAATATATCTATGTTATCATTTCAGGAGTTTAATCTTATGATTAAATTAATACGTACAATAACTATCATGGCTCTTGAAACAATTGTACAACGAAAGTTTATACCCAATGTTCTATTACAAAACATAATATTACTACATTCTGCTGTGCTACCAAATATAAAAAATGAACAGGTTGATGTTTAATTATTATCATTTATTCTTTTAATATCTATATTTTTTAATTTTTAAATAAAAATCCCTCTAAAGGCTAAAAATGAAATATCAAATTTGCTGGAAAGGTGGTGGATATTAGACATGACATGGAAAGAGAAAGTGATAAGAAATGTATTGAAATACCTCATCCAAAATAGCAAAACTTCATTGGTAATTATCCTTTGAGTATATAAATACATGTGAACAATGTAACTTCAAATAACTGATTCATTAATTATATTTTTAGCAACATGTAAAACGTTTATATGAGATAAGGTCTAGCATCACATTACTGAAATGCACTGAAGATGTGCAAGAACTACTTAAACTTGTTCGAGAAAAAACTGTGATGTCCCTTGAAGAAGGTCGAATGTTGATATTACATTTATTTACGCTTGGGGAGCAATATATATTGGTACAAGTTATAAATTATGCCAAAAAGGTTATAAATATCAGTTTATATCAAACTAACATTAACATAATTGATATTTCAGGGAGTTCATAATAATGTAAGGGTAGTATTACAAGATATTGAATACAGTTATATTCCTGCATATGCAGATCTATATGCAACAGCATGGTTAAATGGAACTGAAAAATTTAAGAAATTTATTGTTGAAAATTGTTTACAAAATATTATTTTTTATTGTTTCCGAACATATAGAGATGATACAGGAAGGGGAAAGCTTGGTAAAAATCTGCTTTCATTTGTTGCTGCTATGCATGATAGCAAGCATCAAGCAGCAAAATTAATGATTCACAATGAATGTAAACCTCTACTTTGGAAATATTTAAAGGTATTACCAGAATGAAATTTACATATACACATATACATAATATGTTATAAGCATCAAATTAAATTCTTATCACAGGCACATGGGTCTTTCATCATATGCAATGCTGTAGAGATTCTCTTTATAACAAGTTCTGTTCAATATACATGTACTCCAAGAGACAGAAATAAAATATATATTCAAAAATATTATGAAACAATAACAGATCTCTTAAAAGATTCAGATTCTGAAGTGTGCAATGTTACTATAAAAGTATGGTAATTTGTCTATTATTACTTTAACCTCTTGCTTTACAATATTAGTACACATCATATAAGGACATGGATTATGCTTTCAATTCAATAAAGAGGTCTGTTTTTTCAGTCTGAACATTATCACCACTTACTTAAATAGTTACTAACAAAACTATAAGGCAAGGGGTTAAATATTTCAAAACTAATTATTGATATTTAAGAAATGTGAACATCTTTAGGGTCTATTTAAAATGTTAGAAAAATATTGGAATCATGTTCCAAACAATATTATTCGGAATTGGTTAAATATACTACTACAACATACAAAAAACGCCAATAATTCCGAAATAAGGGCAAACATTTTTACTGGTTTAAAAAAAATATTAGTTAAAGAACGATCTTATATGATACTTAAAGATTTTCTACCAAATTTCGCAAACAGTATTTATGACGAAGATCAAACGGTATTAGAAGCGTTAATTAAACTTCTTTACCATGCACAAAACCAACTTGGAATACCATTCTGGAATATAGTACCCTTGACCTATGTTCTCGATCGCTTAGAGGTATACATAATACAAAATAATATTTGACTATTTGCAAATAAAGATAATATTAAATTTAATGTCTTATTATTATTTTCAGACTACTCAAGATGAATTTGTCTTGCAAGAATTAGTAAAACTTATGTGGTTACGTATATCGTCGAATGGTACACATCACGATAAAATAAAGGATGAATTAGCATACATAGGAACGAGCAATATAAATGCCGTTAGAAGATTTTGTTTGCATTCTAAATCTGTTATAAGTTTAAGTACATCCACGAAGCTTATTGAAACTTTGTTATCTGTGATAAGAGAAGAAATGGAATGTTTACCTGTAGCAAAAATATTAAACAAAAATTATAATAAAAAAGTTAAATTTAACAAGAAGAAGAATAGCTTCGAAAATGGTAATAATATATAATTATTGTGTGATATTAAGTTTATTAAGTTTAAGTTTAAACATTAATAATTGTGTTTATCGGAGTAGATTCTTCAAATAGTTGGAATGATGACTTTGATAATTATAGAGCTATAAATATATATATCGATATTATTGCTATGTTATTAATAGCAAATATTGAACATAGTGACGAAGGAATATTATATAAAAAAGAAATTAATATTTTACAACTAATTGCACATGCATTACCAGAGCTTTTCAAGAATTTCAGAGTAAGTATTCATAATTTATTCCCTATAGGTTCCTATAATATGTATGTAATCCTTTTTCAGGAAACACCAATAAACGAATCAATAATATTTTTATTTTCTTTAATACCTCCGAAATTTTTTTTGAATAAAATTGGTATTCTGGAAATGTTGATACAACAACTGTGTGATCCCAATACTCCTGATGAAAGTCTCCTTTCAATTGTGTATCTTCTCATGAAATGGAATAAGGGAGATACAATTTTATTCGCATTAACGAATCTTTTTACACAATCTTTAAATACAAATGCAAGACATAATCAGGTAAAGATATTGTTTAATAAATATATTAATAACAATAAGATATAATATTATTAAATGTTCATTTAGAATACTGCACATGATTTCCAAATTAATGAGAAGGGTCTAGAATTAAGTTTACGAATTCTAAAACATTTACTGCATGTTGAATATCAGTCAGTTTTAATGAATAAATATCATAAGGACATACTTAAATTTTGGGAAAGTTTACATAGACTAAGAAGTTTTATAGAAAGAGAAATGAATAATGAGTGCAATATAAAAAGTCTTGTATCCAAAGATATAATTATAAATTTTTTTAAAGAATATATATCAATGATTGCAATATTACATAAAAAGGATGTATTTGATACATCAGAACATTTTTCAGAGATTTTATTATGGGTCAGGAGGTATGAAAGTTAATTACATATTCTTATCAATTTTCTAGAAGTATTGTTATTGTTAACATATCCTTTCTTTTTACACAGGACAATAGTGACACACATATCGCACATTGATGTAAACATTATAGAAAATCATTATATTTGTATAAATATAATAAAAAGTACTTTTGATATGTCAAATTTACTACTGAAAGAGTGCAATACTACTCCGAAACTATGTTGTGATATCGTACTTTTATATTGCAGTTGTTTATCATCACCAAATGGCATAATTTTTTTAAATGATGCATTTGATGCAATAATGATGTTATTAGATTTTAGTAAAATGGCTTATGACGAACAAGAACCAAATTTATTAAACATTGTTGTACCAAATTTTGTATGTATTGTAATGGTTACTTTAACTAAATGTAGCAAAGATATATTACTTAAATATACAAACGTAAGTATACATAATGAGTTATCTAAAAAAGACGCGGTAAATATTTTCTACATTAGAATTAAATAACTTATTAATTATAGGACAGAAAAATACTGCATAAATTAACGCAAAAATATTTTTCCGTTATTAAAAATACTTTTGACGATGAGAGTTCTTATCTTTCATATATAACTATTATGTTTAATGCTGCAATCAGTAGTATAAGTATGGAAATTACACGTTTACTACAACGCTCACATGTAATAGATGAAAATATTATAAGCACACCGTTTCCTTATCTAGCAAAGGAAATATTAAAAATTATTTTAAATACAAAAAGATATCAAAAACTGAGTATACAAGTATTAACAAAGACAATAACAAGTTGTGCAAAAGTAAGTATATATACACTATTTCAAATCTATTAATAGTGTAGCTAATTCATTTCACATTTTAGATTGACATGTTATCTTCTCTGATAGTAATATACAAAATGCTTAAATCAAATAATAAAAGAGTTATTAATTTACTTAAAAACGTGACATTAGCATCCAAAGTACACTACCAAAATCAATCTTGTGATACTCTCTTTGATAGGTATTATTAATTTTTTATTCTAAAAGTAATAATATGTTAATCGTAACCATAATCACGTGATCAGAAAGATCATAATATTGATAAGAAATATAATATTCATAATTCTTCCAGGTCTATAAATGATGCAATAGATACAGTTATAGATGCCATATTGAAACAAAAATAATACAATTACCGTTTATGTAATAAATAATTATGTAATTGTAATAAGCCAATATATCTACTACGCGATATATTTTTATTCAATATTTTATGTATTAATGAAACTATAAAATTATATCTTTTTGAAAGTATGAAGAATGTTTTTTAGTACTTCTTAAAAAGAGAAGCTTTAGAAAAAGAGGAATAGAAAAAGTATAAAAGAATATCTTTGATGAGACAGGAAAGTAGAAAATTTTTACATTAGTATATCAATTAAGATACTGAACGTAATTATTAATTACAAATTAATAATTGAAATAAAGATTCCAATTAGAATAATTAGAACGAGAAAAAATAAGATTTCTAGAAATATAATGTTTAAAGTTAAATAAATATACATACATATATTGTATATTTAAATATAATTATTTTTTGTACAAGAATATTTCATTTGTTTACATATGTAAAATATTTAAATAAATTATACGAAATTGTAATTACTACAATTGTTATGTATTGTAATTTATGACTTACTGTTTCGCCATTGCACGTTACTTAGCCAGAAAACGTTATATTTCTCATTTGTCTGACTGCAGCTACAACTCTGGCATTGCATCCAGAGCTACTCTTCTGGTAATCTTCTGGTGGGAGTCTTAATAAAAGAGACATATGTTGTAGATTTTCTGATAAGGATAGACCAAGTTCCTCTAATACATTACCAAGGTAATCTGCAAAATATATTGTACATATTAAAAAATTGAAGAAAATGTTTTAATATATAACTTTTTGATACAAAGGTACGTACCTATGTCAGTTGCAAGTTGTTTACATGCAGCAGAACTTAGCTGACAAATTCCTAATGTTTGATCTAGAAACATTTGACATGTTTCTTTAGCAATGATTTCTAATAAAATACCAGTAAATCCAGATTCAGTGGAACTTTGTGCATATTGTGGATCTGCTGCTTTTAATGCCTGCGTAAGGCTTGGATTTTCCCTCAGTAAAAATGGCTCTAAATGCTGTGGTAATGTCATCAAATATTGCCCAACTTGAGTTATATATTCCTGAGGAGCAAAGCTATAATCGGGTAAATCTGCACTCAAATGCGTCATTTTGTTGATTTCTGTTGACCATGCTGGTGCTTTTTGTACTGATAATAATTGCGTAAAGATAGGAGCAAAGATTACTTCATATGTTGCACGATGTAAATCAGAACATAGTTTGTGAATAGACTTTATTATTGGATCAAGAATTGTTTCTTCTTCTGTAAAAGAAAACATTTATTTAAATATGAAGTAATTGATGTCATCTATGAAAAAATCTTTATATTGATTACCTTTTTGAAAAGATGCAGTTAAATTTTCCAATTCATTTTGACTTGATGTATGTAAAAGTAACTTTTTATATTGATTAAAAACGCTACCACTTGTACTTTGCAGCTTATTATTAGCTTCTGTAATGTCAATTATCAAAGATTTCTCAAATTGTTGAATCTGTCCCAAAAGATCACCTGTATATATTGGAATTGACAATATTACATCAAATTTATTTAAAAAAAGGAAAATAAAAATGCTACCTATAGTTTGCATCAAAGTAAGGCACATTTGGAACAAATTCCAATCCTCATGTTTTACTTTTTTGTGTTCTAATTGCCGTATAGCCACTTGATATTTGTCAAGATATTTATTGAAGTAACGCTGTAAAAATAAACATCTTATTACATATACATAATGAGAAAGTCTTTTTATCTTAGCATTTTAATTAGTTTCATATTACAGTTAGAGATTTTAATACGCTGGGATAACCACAACCATCTGTAAAGAGTTTACATCTTTTATTGGCCTCATTTGCATATTCCATTACTCTCGAAAGGCTAAGGGAAAGGTTATTGATCGTATCACTTAAATCATCTTGAACAGAATCTATAGATTGCAACTGATGTTCAAGTTGAGCTGTTTCATAAATATTGTATTTTGTAACATATGGAACATAAGGTGCATATATTGCTTGTGCCAATGATAACAATTTTGGAGTCTGTGATTTTCCATGTGATGATGTTTCAATAGCACCTTGCAAGTTCACAGCAAAGTGCCTTGTAATTTGTTTAAGTTCAAGTAAAAGTGACAATTGCATAGCATTTGTATGTTGTTTTAAAAGAGCTTCTATACATTCTGGAATGCCTGGGTCCAAACTTCTTAAAAGATCAGCATATATCTCAATAATTACATCAACTGAGGTACTACTTGGGAATACTTGATGACACCATTTCACCTGTATTGAAATCATGTTACCATAAGAATAAAACTTACGTTATATATGTTAACACGACATTTTTAAAATAAAAGCTACCTGATCATTCCAATTAGATAATAATTTATCATAATAAGTATGTAACCAGTAAGAAACATTTTCATCTTGTGCTAATTCAATAGTTCTGCGCCATTCTTGCCCTAATGATACTTTCAGACAATTGTGATAATACTTGAGAAGTTGAGGCAAGCGTTCCATTTTACTAAAAATATCCACATAAACTTTAGATTGTTCTGAAACAAAAATATTAGTTAATTTGTATACAGTGGCGAAGGTTACAATTACATTCAATATAACATACCCAAATTTGCAGCAGTAAATGCTTGAACTAACTTTGGACTAGCTATGGCTTCTAACCGATTTTTTAAACCTTCTAATTGTAATTTTTTATCTTCATAGTCAATAACATTTACGAGCATAGCCAGTGATTTTTGCATACTGAACAGTTTATTTGCTATAGCTTCTATATCTCCTGACTCAAATACCTGAAATGTTAAAAATAACATAAAGCCAAAATTTACAAGCATTTTCTTATCTCAGTGAATACTATACCTCTTCAACATCATTGGCAAGTATACTCCAATTATCAGCTTCGTGTAATCCTTGTTTAGCAATCTGTAAGTCTGTTTTTATTTTATCTATTCTCTCTAATGTAGCCATTGATGAAGCAGTGTCTTTTTCAACCTATTTAATAAATTAATATCATAATAATAGAGAAACAATAGAGGCATTCGATCATTTCAGACAAAAATATCAGAATAAAAACCTTTTCTATTTCTTGTTTAACTGCAACCATTTTTTCTCTCAGAGCTAAAGCTTCTTGTTGCAAAAGTTGAGTATCTCTTAAAACTCTTGGCAAACTTGAAAGAACAGACTGACTGGTTTCTTCTAAAGCCCCATTGACTTGTTGCACATACAATTGTAATTTCATTACCAATGATGAAACAAATGCCTAATAAGGTAATATATAAAAAATATTTATACAAAGAGATAGAAAGTCAGAAATTTAGAAAACATATAAAATATTATCCCCTTGAATTTGAATGTCGTGGCGATTTCGCATTCGAGTAGTTATTTATATGAAGTAACGATTAAAAAAAGTTTCTAAAACATTTTTTATTTAATGTTGTAATATTTTTATATGCAATGTAGTGAAAAAGAATTATCTATAAAAAGGCATATGGTGTCACTGACCGCGATGCAATAGAAGCAGTCAGTTTAGTAACTGACTGTACTAGTGCAACTGAAAGTCAAAAACTGTGTCGAGGAAAGAAATAGAACCCGCGCAATCGAGATCACACTAACTGTATGACTTACATCTTTGTTTTCTTGTGCCTCGACAGATTTAAACGTTTTATTAATCCAATCTTTCACATCGAAAATATCTTCGGAAAATGCAGATACATCCTGAAATCGGTTTAAGGTTAGGAAAAACTTGATCTTTTATTTTAAGAATTTTCTACATTTTTCCACAAAATACAGTAATCATTTAAAATATTTAACAGAGTATATCGAGTTTCTGAGCGGTTGTTTTATTTTCAGGATTTTTAATAAATATTTCGTTGCTTACCATGATAAATTACAAATCGTTAAAACTTTTCAGGTAACTTTTTTTTTTATAAAAATGTAAAATGTAAAGTATACGGTGCGAATGGTACGGTTTCGAGAGTCGAAGTTTATTTTCTCTATATTTTATTCTTTTTTCGGATGCCGTATAGCGCAGAAGTGTTTCGGTACACAGCCACTTTGCCGTTGCACTTCGCGTGTTGTTTCGTGACGTCGGAACCCAGAAGAACGTTATTATCGTATTAGATTACAACAAATTAATTCGTTCTATGTGTTTCTTTTCTTCTTTTTTTTTCTTTTTTGTTTCCTTGCATTAGTATTATCAAACATTTTTGTGCATTTCTAAAATATATGTAGTGCTGCAAGGTCTATGATCGTCAAACAAATCGATTGTGCAAATGTGCAGCATTTATACTTCTGTAATGGGACGCAGTTCTAGATTATAGATTCACTTAATTCGTTGTGAAAACGCGAAAATTTCGGGAAACTAAAATGACAACTTCGATACACGATACTTTATACATATGTGACGGTATTTAAGATTTAACGATAACATAACGATACAATGAAATTAAAGAAAAGGATCACTAAAGATAAAACGAGTGTCTTGTTTTTTCTCTGTAATAATTGTGATAAAATGAATATCTCGGATTCCAGACGAATACTATAAAGGAAAGACCATTTTGGAAGGTGCTGTTCACCCCTTTGCGACAATCAGCTCGGTTTCCTTGTGACACAGTTCACTTCTCTGGATTCTGATAAACTGCCTAACAGAAGGATATAAATCGAAGAAGAAAAGGGAGAGAAGATGGAAAACAGCATCATATCGGCCGTTTCCGGGCCCTTTGTTGATCGCCACGCCTCCGAAACTGCGTTTGCGCGTGACGATTTGCGCAACAGTTGGAAGTTGGAATTTTGCCTGGAAATAGCCTTAATCTCGACGAAAATAAGGAGAGCAGGCTGAGCAGAACTGCAGCGGCTATACTTTGCCCTTTTCTTTGCGAACATTGAGCGCATCATCTGGTCGAGAAAAAGCCTATGTTTCTCAGGTTGTGCTGCATACGCATGTGCTTCGTTTTACCATGTCACACGAATTTATTACATACGTTATTGATCATTTGATACCTTATTTATGTTCATTTCATGACTATAAGTTCTCTAATCTTTTTTGTTATTGAATATTTGAAACGAGATCTTGGAGTTTCGAGTTCACATGCGTAACAAGGGAATTATTCTTTCGCATAAAGTTGAACTTTATTACGGACGGCAATCAGACCCAATCAGTACGGCATATTAGAAGCGTATGCATTTAATGTCGCGTATAAAGTGCGTCGATCAGAAGTCCAATTTTGTAATCTTGCTGTGCATATGAATGCGTGCCGCTGATAAATTGTCCTTCATTTGGACCAGGCTGAGACTTTTCAAAAAAGTACTATTTCATTTATTCATTATAAACAAACGAAAAAAATATCGATCATTACAATTTTACAATATGAATTTGTTCCTTTTTGTGTATTAATGTTGATGTTAAAAAGTTGTTGATAATTTTTTATTTTATTAATGATACGATTTAATATTCGTAATTAATGTTGGTTCGATAATTTTGCTACAGTTACTGCTTCTTATATATTTGATTATCTATCCCAAGGTTTTAAGCGAATTAATGTAGAATAAGTCGAATGCAGCTGCGTGTTTTTGCAATGTGGAAAAATTATGGAACCATCAACCTTACACGGAAAGACCATTGTACCTGGTCCCAGGGCGACTATGCGATACGACCGTCTGTAGGAAGGGTAAGAGATATCCTCGACCTTGAGGTTTGTACCAGCCAATCCCAAGCCTTTATTTCCTAGCAGTAGGTATGGGATTGGTTACATGTTCTCCACGGCACTATTGTATTTCCAAGTGCTTCCGGTTAAAAAGACAGATTTCCGAAAAAGCAAGTATATACCTGGTAAGTCTATAGAACACGTAACGTCGATTTTTTTCTCTTCTCTTTTTTCCATTTCCGTCAATGCACTATCCCTCCAATGCATACTGTTGGCTAAACAGCGTGAAAAAGTAATTATCAACTCGCGATAACGAGTCAGCAAACGGATTTTTACTTAATCTTCCTTCCTGTATGAAAACACACGTTCGCCTTTGCAAAAGGTACACGCGATTCGCAATGAAGAACAATTTACTTGGTTTTGATTACACATTGTTCGACCATGCGACGAAACAGCACGATCGGATTTACCGTGGCTGTGTAGCACAGGGAACTCATCATTGTCAGAAACGCTGCGATCAATTAGAAGAACGTATCTAAAAAAAGACCATAATACGACAATTATTCTGAAACTGAACTGAAAGTCAGTCCCTGTGACACACAGTCGAACGTTGAGAGCATTTGGTATCAGCCTTTGCTGTGGTGCTCGTGTTACATCTGGCTGCGATACGTTACATTGGACCAGCCGATCTTTTACCCATTTCTAGTTCACATACTTACATATAGGTATACTGCACTTCAGTTCTCCAAGCCTCTTATCTTTGTCGGTGTGCTCGATAAAATCCTTACACAATTACTCACAAAATTCAAGGCGAGTATTTGTGTTTAGAATAAACGAGCCCCTGCTGCACGAATTTTGCAAGTGTATAATCACTCCTACACAAAGCACTCTGTATGTCGCATTGCATTTCAATACGATCGTTTTGGTTGTGTTTTTGTACAATCGGCCCCTTCTCATGGATCAAGACCTTATCTTTTTGAAAGTTCTGGGAATAATAATAATCTCGCATCGAATATGTAACCCTATTTAATTGAGGAACTGGCGGAAACTTTCGAAAGACAATCAATAGCTTCGTCTGGCACTCTGCAAAGTAAACGTTTCGAGGATGTTGGCGAATGAAATTAATGATCTTCCTTCAATCTCGGTTGATTGCAGCCCTTTTCCCTCAAATTCGTAATATTCGTATCTTATAATATCTGATTCTTCGTTTTACTAAAATTTGCAACAAGAATTTTCATAGTGACGGTATGGAATTAATCTTTCGGATGTGCTGGGGAATAAGATGTATTGCGTGTATTCGCCAGTAACGTCGTACCATGCAATATGACCGACCGTTCCTAGGTAACAGGTCTTTAACCTATGTATCTCAAAAGGTTGAGAACTGCAAACGATCGGGCGGAAAAATAAGAAGAAAGGATATTGAACTTTTCTAAAATTTTCGAAGAATTAGAAATACGTTGGACGAAAGGAAAAAAGATATGCGAATATTTGATGGTTGAGAAAGATGCACAAACTTGGTATGTCAGCGATACGTTTGATCGCATTCATGCTGGAGCGTAGGCTTATCTCGGGACGTGTACGGGAGGATGAAATTATTCAGCCGGTAACGGCAGAGACTGTACCGAGGCCGCGCTACACTTCTGAGAAAATAAATTCTCCCGCGCTTCTTCAGTGCCCGTAGGTTCGCGTTGCCACTTCCTTCGTGAATTCTCTTCCTCGAAGATCGAGTTGATTCGAATAGCCAACCTTCCCTCTGGGGACCATAAGGGGACGAGGCTCTCTCGACTGCGCAATTCTCGTTGCAGAAAAAAAAGTAGAGACGCTAAAAAAGGTAAAAAGGAACTGAGGCGAAGGGGATATCGAATTTTTTTGCGGCCCCTCCTCGCTTTGCGCCTATATTGATTTTTAGAAATTCCTCGCGAGACGGTTGAACGCGAATGTAGAAAGGAGTGAGCGAGCGAGCGAAACGAACCGGCGAAGGAAAGAAGAAAAGAAGGAGAGGAACGAAGCAGCCGGAAAAGATTCGCGGCCCTCGAGCCATCGCGCGTTCTAGGGCGGTGCAGCGCTGTTTTACGAAACCTTTTAGCGGGCAATGTCCGATAGAAACCGAGAGAACGTAATTAACTTGGAACTTATCAAGCCGAGAAGCGTCGCGTGTTTTGCGTCTTCGCGAAATGTCTCAACAGAATAATTGTCTGGAGAATACTCTGTCACGTTTTGACACAATTCGAGCTTATTTTATATTGCTCTACAAGCTGACATTTACGAACATGTTCGTTATATAATTCATTAATAGATACTCTTTCATTTTTCATAAATTCTTCCAACGATTCATCTGCTCTACATTCGACTGCCGACTTTTCTACGTTAGTGAGAAGATCGGTTAAAAAATCAGAAATTTGAATAATAGTAATATGAAATTTAAATTTAAATTGGGAACTTTCAGCGGGAAATCGGAAAGCTCGTGAAACGACGAGGGAGAAAGTAGAGTAGGAAATGTTCGTTCGATAATTTATTTTCTATGAGTATATTATATAGCGATGATGTATAAAAACGGAAGGTAAGAACGTTGCACGCGAACTAGAGAAGTTGAAATGAACCGTTAAAAGTTCCAGCGGACGAAACGTGAAATAATGGTAGGAGGGCGATGCGTGCGTGTTCGTAGGTATTTATAAGATTCGTAAGGATGTTTACGGCATTTGTTTCTAACAGCGGGAAAATTCCCACCCATATTAGACATAATGCGAGACGGCCCTGCTTATAGTCGAAAGCAATCGAAGGTAGTCGAAGTCGTCCGAGGACAGTGGAAAATAGTGGGATGTTTCCCCTCTTTCGCTTATGACCATCCCTCAACCCCTACCATAGCGCGCATCCCTTCCTTTAGGCTCGATGTATCTCTGTTTCTCTCATACCCGTTGACGGTTCTCTCAGTCGCTTCCTTCTCCCTCTCTGTCTCGCTCTGACTGGCTGTGATCTCCCTCTCTCTTTTCTTCCGTCTTTGTCTGTCTCTGTTTTTCCTTCTTGCTCGTTCAGCTCGTTCTTAACGTCAAACCACTTAGGGCCGCAGACCTCGGCAGTCAGTCGATCTTTCCTAGCAGCAGCATTCCGGCATTTTCCACCTGATCGCGCGCGGGCGGTCCGGTAAACGCCATTTTGTTCGTCACGTCTGATCGTCACGTCTCCTCGTTAGAGAGAGGAACCTCGTGCGTAGAACGTTTGTATGTGCCGCGCACCCTTCCACGCCCCGTGCAACACCTGCGTTATCAAAAACAACAAACGAACGGCGACGCACTTTGTAACACACGCGCGCGGTTGTTGTGTGGTGCGGGTGGTTTACTTTTCCCTATTCCGTGAAACCGACAACCGGGCATTGGGAACGGAAAAAGACGCCGGGTGTTGTTTTTCCGTTGACGAGACCCGCACGGAACGGAGTGCGTGACCCCGCGTGGTGTTTTCTCTCTCTGCTCTCCACGTTATTCTTCCCTCGGTCACCACCACGTTAAGGACCTCGACAACGCAGTTAACCGATACGTGAGAACGTGAGTACGCACTATATACTTTATTAGATTCACGCGCATCTCGACTGTCTTTCCGTCTATCACGCACACGGTCCCAACGTTAGATCTTGTTTTTTCCTGCCTGCATGGCATCGTCTGCCATGTTAGACCGGCGTCTCTTTCTCTTTCTCCCTCTTTCTCGTTGTCCCTCTCTTTTTACTCTCTCTCTCTCCCTTCTCGCGCCGTCCCCCTTCCTCGTGCTTCGTGTAAACGCGCTCTCTCCCACCTCCGCTCGTATCTCGACAGGAGCGTCGACATGAATTTTCCGATTGCGAATTTTAATGTTAATATATAATGACGGTCGCAATCACGATGTTGATGACAGTCATGCTGTTGGTAAGGAACGACGACGACGCCGCCTGTCAACTAATCTCTTGCCTTCATTGACGTGCTGCTCCTGTATTTTCGCTGTTTGTATAATTCGTTGCTTGTTACGTATATGTGCTACGAGCATCCGTACGATTGAACAAAGAACGCCAGAGAGGGAAAATAAACAGGAGCGAGAAAGAGAAAAAACGAGCACGTATTCGTAGGACAACAAAAGTTAATACAAAACATCGTGCCCCCGTAATTCTACGCGAATGTACATGATTTCTTCGACCTTTTTTGTCTGTTTTCGAAATGATACTCTTCGCGGAAGCCGTGTGTACTTTTCAGAACAGACATAACCTTAAACGATCGAAGAATGAATACATACACCTGACCGGTTTATGGGTATACCTTTGAAGGCATAGGCGCGGTTCTTAACACTTGGACGTTACCGACGATTCAGCACGTGTACACGCGCGTTCGATGCTCCAAGATAGTGCATCTAACTGTAACCAATCAAAGCAACTGGAGATTTGTTTATTTCGCGTGCTGGCGCAAAAGCGCGGGAAGCGGGAGGGTTCGAATCGAACCGCGAGACGCAACATTTTTATAGCCGACGTATTCACGGGACTTTAAAGTGTTCTGAAAGAAGTATTTTACACTTTCAAACAGAAATTGCGTCTCTAAATTGCGAAATTTTGAATCAGAATGATTTCAAAATGACTCATCATTACGAATCAGATTATTTTCCATGAATAGTGCCGCGTAGTAACCGAGGACGATAGTTAATTCTATGCTTATCTTCGCGCGGAAATTTTTCGTTCTAGGAAAACTTCTAATCAGTTTCGCCGTTTTTGCAAAAACCAAACCGCTGTTGCAACTTTTATAACAGCCCGATATCGC